CGCTCGTGGGCGCTGCATTACATGGTTCAAGTCCATGGCGACGCGACTTTTGCTAGGAATGTAGTGAAGTTCGCCATTCAGAGCGGGGTCATCTGGCTGTCTCGCCTTTCATTATTCACCGTTACGGCCGTAGTTCACCACCTTTAACTCCCAGTCTATGGCACTTTACTACCGTCCCTGACAATCTAGCATGGCCGTTCCCGCGCTACTAGCGCCGTGGTATGCCCACCCTCACGCCATCTGATCCTTTATTGGTTTTGAAGAGAGATCGTTAGCGTTGGAGAGAGCAGCATCAACGCGGAAGACAACAGGCGAAGGAGGTGTCCCATTTTTCGAGCTTTGGACCGTTTCTCATAGTTTTTTCTTCATTCCTACATCACCGACCACATCTGCTTTGATTTCTGATGGGCTACCTTTTCGACGTGAACTCCACATTTTGGGTTCCCGAAGAAATGTGCAGGAGCTCGTTGTTAAGTCACTTTTCGATACTCAGCACTATCAATTACTAAGTAGCGGTTGATAGTCGCAAGGCTTCCTGCCTTGCTATTGATGGATCGAAGGGCGTGATCAAGGGGAGTGAGTGGAGCTCAAAAAGCACAATAGGTCCATGGGTCTACGGGAGTGAGATGAACCGTTAAGAAAAGCTTCACAAGAATGCTGGGTTGAAAAAAAGAAGGAAAGCAGAAAAGGATAAAACATTCGCCCCAAACGGGACTCGAACCCACATCTCTTGCTTTCAAACTTTCTTTTTTTTTCATCGTGAACAAAATTTTCGAACAAGGTGGTGCGGGTTCGAGTCCCGTCTGGGGCGAAAGTTTTGTTCACAACCCAGCATTCTTGTGAAACATTCGCAAGGCGAACTGCGGCCAAAAACAGCAGTTAACAAACAAAAACAAGGTAAGAAAAGGGCACTGGACCATATCGCGGAACAGAGGTCTGCGAGTAATAGTCGTCGAAATGCCTCAGCTTCTCGCCAAGAGACGAACCTCTTGAGCTGTCAGGTTGTACGCGACCAGAGAGTAATGAGATCACGCGTCAATGTTACGTTGAAAGCCAGCCTATGACGTACGCTAGGCAGATGCCATTGTTACACCATAGTCAAATGCACATTTTCACAACAACAGAAAACTGGTATAAATGGGTTCAACAGCGTAGCAACAAGTAGTATAAAATTGCCCCCCCCCCCCCCCGCTGCCCCAAAGAAAAGGAAAAGATACAGCGGAAAACGCCATGATTACAGGCTTACTTTTTTAAGCGGACATACAGTCTGGAACCGATTAAAAAAACTAACCACCCCCTCTCCTTAGGGGAACCTTATGACCCCACCACCCAGCCTGGGGTCAAACCATTTCGCCCACATTCTTCAAAAAATTTCACGACCCCCTCCTTAGGGGCCCGATTTCGCGACCCCCCACCACCGCCATGGACTCAGGAGGCTCCCCCAGCACAGTCTCTGCCTAGCCTACTCCGACCGCCCCCATGGATGTTTCTATAGTATTTGATTCTGAGACCAATCTCCACAGCCCAGATTCGCCACTTTTCTCAAAAAAAGGTGTCGAGAGGGGGGGAAGGGGAAGGGGAGGGGGGTAATGAAGCAGCTAATTTTCTCTCCCACCTATCCTACCCCATGCTGTACACCAAATTACATCCCCAAAACCCCTCAAAAAACCAATCTACATTGCCTCACCCTCTACCTCCACTCAACAAATTACTAATTCCCACTCCACCACCCTTGAATGCGACCCCCTTCCCAAAATCGACCACAAATGCGCCCCCTCGTTTGGAATAGTGCCGAAGTAAAGAAACTAGGAAGAATTACATTAAAGGAAGTGGTGTGGTTCGTTTTGCCTGGTAACACACGGTTGACCTGCATCCAGCACCACCACCTGCGCAGGCATCTATACTCTGATTCTGAGGCCACCCGACACACTCGAACCGCGCCTGCGATTTCCCTCCGAAGGTGAACGAAGGTGAACTCCTGTCGAGCAGGGCAACGGTTACCATAAGAGAAAAAGCCTAACCATAAGCCTGAACACTCAATAATCTTATCCGCAGGACGAACGCGTTCGTCCTGATCGTGACCTCCCCTCTCAATTGTCCCGGCATGTGCCTTTAAGAAACTAGGAGTCGTGACCACTGTGGATAGATCTTCTGCCTCTTTCTTTCCGAGATGAAGATGCGCATCAATAGAAAATTCGAATTACTGGCTCTGAATTGAGCTATACGATAGGTCTTTCTTTTTCTGGACTAAAAACTTCTCACTGAAGGAACCTCACTAAAGGTTGCTGAGGGATGCTGCTCGAACAACAGTTCAAAGTCCAAGAGCTCGATCGTCTGATAAGATACCATCATCTCGAAAGAAGGGAAACCTACTCGAAATTTTAGGCTGTAATCTGCGGGGGAAGAAACCGGTTCAGGAATCATTTTTCCAGAGCAGTTCTTTGACGTCCTAGCTACCTGATACCTACCTAGTAGTGCCCATCTGCAGCTTTTTGAGCGGACTTGTTTCGTCACGTGTTATGCTAAGCCCCTTCGCTTATTTCCCTTTGCCATCATTACTTTTAAGAGTTTTGGTAGGTGAAAATGTAGATAAGGGGGCACTCATAATATCTAATCAAACTGATAATATCTAATCGAAGTAAAGCTGCGGAAGGGTATTAGATATGAGCGTCTTCCGCAGCTCCACTCCGATTAGACAGGGTGCCCCCAAACTACATTTTCGCCGCACAGTAATTCCACTAGGTGTCAAAAAAAGGAAACGGCATGGGAAAATGAGTTTTGTTGAATTTATAATTTATTTGAACTATTTATTCGTGCACCAACAAAGGTTGATAATGAATCTTGAGACGGTAATGTTTAGGTGAAATGGGAATACAGTCAAAGTTCATTGCGATTACGGGCGAAATTTAGTGGCGAAAAAGAAGAAGTATTGAGGAATAGTTAGTCTCTCAGAGGCCAAAGTGAGGAATGGGAGAGTGGGTGGGGGCAGTCAGCCAGTCAACACATCCCAATATCTCATCCACGCATCGGAGATCATTCACGGAAACAAACAAATACTCGGAAAACTGTCGAGTGGAGAACCGTTTGAATGGGATGAATAGCGCGGGGGAGTGGAACGGATAGGGATAGCTGATGATGAAGAAACGTAGATATTATTGACGGTAAACGGTAAGTGGCCACTTGGTCCACCGATAATGTTACTCTCTGTCTCGTGTGTGGTAATGAAGAACAACATAAATTGCTGGGCAGCTGTGCGAAATAAAAATAGAATGTTTTCAATAGAGAGTACCCCGATTGTGATGAAATATGCAGGGGTAGGGGAAAACTCGCGGCGAGTTCGAAGTTTCGTCAGCTTTTGAAAGAATGTTTTGCATAGCTGTGACCTTCTGCTTCAGTTGGGTTGAATAGTGCCCGTATACCCTCCTCTTCAAAAAGCGAGAAAGTGTCGGGTGCAGACCGCACGCCACAAGTGACGACGGTCTTCCACAAAATGTTAATGTTTTCTGCCAATG